ATCGGGGATAACTAAGTAAAATCTCTTTGTAATTCTAGAGTCGTATATGAAAAAAAAAAAATTAGCACCAATTCATAGCGAGGATATGAGTCTTAAATTGACACTAATCCTTTTTTTTCCTTTTGAATATGTTTAAAGCATTACATTCTAACCTGTATCTGTGTGCGTAGATTACCCAACTAGAATCCATTTTTATTTTGGAAAATCGGACCGGATCCCAAGACATTTTCTATGTAGAAAGAGGACTCAATGATACATGAGAGAACGCGACGACTCTCGTTTCCCTCTGTTCCAACGGAAATACTAATCTACTCTTTCCGACGATTCTGAAACTTTTCGGCTTGATGTCGAAGAATGTCGTCGCGGTTTCGGGACAATTCGATTTACATAATTCGTCGGGTACTCGTGAAATTCGGATGAATCGTCGACGAACGAACAGTCGATTGTTCCCGAAATCATATTCGCGCGACTCGACTCCCGGGATCGTCGGCCCGTCGACAGTTTTAATACGCGGCGGGTGATCTGAAAGGCGCACGGTGATGCATTATTATAAGAAACGCGAGACGGAGGAAGACGATGATGAAGCTCACGGTCTATTCTCACGCCCGTGACGTCCATCAATCACTGCTACCGGCAGCAACACACTCCGAACTAGGATTAACTTTCCAGAGACCGGGCGGAAAATCTCACACGCACGGAAACTCCGACCGCGATCGCGCGGGCTTGACAAACCTGTCGGGTTTCTCTCTCGCGGAAACTTTTTCCCTTTCCTCCCTTTTTTTTTTATGTTTTTCCCTCTCTTTTCCACGGGACATCGCGAAATTCGAAAACCGATATTCACCTAACTCGTCGGGAGCCGTTAAATTCGTCTCTCCCGCCGGAGGAAATGTCGTGCCGCAATTTCCGCGCAACGAGATATTCGCGAACGCAAAGTCGCGCGATATTCAAAGCTAAATTCGGAATATTCCAACGACGCCCGTGGAACGTCAAGAGAAATGATATCTTATAAATTATTAAGAACCCGAGAGCTGCCTCGCGCGTGCACAAACATATACCGCTGTTAAACAATTAAGCGTCTCGTGTTTCGACGATCAAACTTTCATCAAACGGCCGTTTTTTACTCTCCCACGGAATTGTTACTTCACGGTCCTATATTCCTCGTTATTATTATTCGATAAGCGCACTGCTCTCAATAGATCAGAGACCAGACGTCGCGGGATATTTGATATTCTATCGAATATCCCGCAGAGAATCCTAAAATAATCGCAGCGAATATTTACACATACACGTCCGTGTGTGGAGAAGATCAATTATTTATCTGCAAATCTACCCACTTATTTTACAGGTATCTAAACGTCTTTTGAATATGTAAAAACCTTCGGGAATAGTCACCGAGATACGTTCGCGCTGGCAGCGTCTGAGATATTCGATATAAACATTTCTGAGGAAAATCAGAAAATCAGCCGCGGAAAGTTCATTCGCGACATCCTCATTGAATACGGCCTGGTGAATATCCAAGAATACGCGGTGGACGGTCCCACGGACGTTCGTTGCGTATCCAAGAATATCCGCCGGATATCACCGTATGCCGTGGGATACGATCTTGCGTTCCAACGTAGTCACGACGTGGCGACGACTGATCGGACGAGGTTGTACCTTTGGCATTTTCTACGAAGCGAACGGAACATCCGGCGCTCCCAAGGCGTGTCGCGCGCGCGGTGTGAAATTCGTGTGTAAACACGGTAGAGAAAGCACGAAGCATACTTTATCCAATTCGATCTGGAAGATCGAATCTTATCACTCATACATTAATCTCTCCTGTGTTTTCCTTGAGAAGACGCAATGTGAATCGAAACGCGTTCACACGTGTGTTCTTCGGTCGTTTAAAGAAACCAAGAATGTATATTCGTTCCTCAATTTCACCGAATCCCAAAAAGTCCCGAATATAGTTTCGGAGATCCGAAGTCGCTTAGTCGATATTAGTGATCTCGATATCTCTGTGATATCTCACGCATGCAAAACGTTTCGACCGATCGTTCGATTCGTCGGCTAGCTGACCGGTCGATCGGATGAATAGCCAGATAGTCGGTCGCTCAACCAACGCACGAATCTAATTTCGGCTCCTCTATGGAGGCTGTCGGCCTCTCATCTCACGCTTCCAATTGACGTGCTCGGTCAGTGTCACCGCGTCGTGTATAATCAACGACTCTGCGCGCCGGTTTCTCGCGACGATTGCATTTAGATGGCACGACACGAGCCCATGAACGCCGAGCAACGATCGAGAGCCTCTGCGACGCAACGTACCTCCGCAAAACTGACGGATCCGAGCCATCGAAATGAACATCAAACATCGAAACGAACGTCGAACCGCCTCGCGCACGCCGAAATTCTGTAAGTGATCGAACCATCAGATGTGATTCGTCAACGGCTACAGTATCCCCATAAGGAATTTAACCGTGAATTTCCGTTTGTAAGTAATGTAATATATATTATCTGTAATATATTGCTCTATACACGCTGAAACTTAAACTTTTACTGTGTCGAACAGTGTAACACTGTGTCACTGTTGCAGCGCTGCCATCCAGTCACCGGAACAAAAGAAAGTGAAATATTGACTGCTTCTTGGCAGGAAGTGGCAAAAAGTGACCTTTGAGACATCGAAATAGTGATCAAAAGTGACGTTTTTTTTTTGTCATACTCTGAGAATAACTAAAGCTATTTAAGTGATAAGCCAAAAATAGTAACGTTTACTCTTACCTTCTCAGGATTATCTTTGGATAGCATATAAGAGTTCTTTTCATGGTACGGTTTGAAAGTTCATAAGAAGGAAAGACTAAGGGCATGAACAATATACAATAAAAGTACACTTTCGGAGCAGTTTATTAAACGAGACAAGTATATTTTATTAAATAAAAAATGAACTTCAGCCTTGGAAAGATATACAACATCATCTTTCGGTTTCATTGCCTATTGAAATAATACACATCAAATAAAAAGGTAACGCAGAAGGCAGCAGACGAGACAAAAATACACGTAGAACATCTATACTTTATAAAATTTTGACGGCAGCTCTGGAAAAGAAAGTGTCTGTAGTAATCCATTTTGGACGATAGTGAATTTTTTAGTGACTTGCCAAGAAGAAGTGACAAAAAGTGACTTAAGTGACTAGATGGTAGCGCTACTGTTGGAATATGCTGTGTTGAACACAATTTTACATCATATTCTCGCTGTCTCTCTTGCTGGGAAACAGCCAATGTTAATGATAATGACCTGATGTACATATTGCTGCTAATATATATATATATATTTTTTTTTTTCGTTAAAATTAGGTGGAGATATAGCTGAGGCCTAAAATTCAGTGGGATCTCTCTAACGCAGTGCGGGGACGGAAAGTAGTAGGAAAATTGGAGGATTGTCGAAAGCACGAGCGAGGGGAACGCAACTCCCGACAGGGAGATGGATGCGAGACGCTCGCACGCATGCATGCACGCGTGTACTCACGCAGGCGTTTATTTACGTCGCGCAACACGGCGTACGAGGAGGGTGGATCTCTCTCCTCCGTCGCCCGCTCACCCGGAACCCGCGATCGAAGCGACGAGAACGACCTAGAAAGTGGCGAGATCCCGTTGCACTTGACACGGACCGTGCGCGCTCTGACGCGTACGGCAACGCGCGCTGGCGATGCTACACGACGGAAAGAACGGCATTACACACGCGAAAACACGCGCGTGTATGCGTGTATGAAAGAGAGAGATACATGCGTGTGTACACGCAGCTACGTGTGCCTTGATGCTGCGTCCAATGTGGCACACGGCCATCGAATGTCGTCTCTCCCGAGGGTCGAGCATGAATCTTTTCCTCCGGCGTGAACTCGTGGAGAGTGACAACTCTCCGATGTGACAACATACGAAGAGGAAAGATTCTCACGAATTCATGCCAAGGTGCGATCATATAATTTTTCATCAGAGCAGAAACATGAGAAATAAAAATTCCAAGTGCTTTCAGATGAAAAAAAAATCTCATCGTTCGCGAATTCACGCTAGAGCCGCGCAAGATTCATGATTTTCTAGGGAATGCAATCGTGAATCTTTTTCTCTAGTAAGAACTCGAGGAAGATGGAAATTGTTTAATTCGAAAATATTTAGAAACGTTTATTTTTCACGTTTTGAGCCCTAATGAAAAATTATGTGATCGCTGCTGAGGAAAAGATTCATCATCGCCTCGCCTAAACAACGATCATGCAATTTTCCCTTAGGCAAATAGGCGACAAAAAGGGAACAATTTCACGCAAATTCGACGGTTTCATCGACCGTGTAAATTTTCCAGCGTAAATTCGTGAGTGACGAACATTTCCAGATGCTCTCAAGTTTGAGAGGAAATTCTCACTTTTCACGAGCTCACGCTGGAGAAAGGAATTCATGACCGATTCCCCCTCTGAGGAAAACTTACACGACCTCGAAAGAGATCGAGTCAAGTTTGTGCACGCATGAACACGTTTGGCGCGCGTATCGACGCGCGTATTGAAATTGGCGAGTCCGAAGAACGCGCGACGCAGCGAAAAGAGCGCTCTTCGCACACGGCTTCGACAACGAGGCCGATGTAACAAGTAACAAAGCCGCGCACGAGAAAGAGAGAGCGCGAGAGAGAGAGGAAAGAGAATGCCCGAAGCGGAGTCGCCGCCGCGTGGTGCGGCGTGAAAGACCAACGACCGCGAGCGAGCGAGCGAGACAGACAGACAGACAGATCGCTACACCACCCTGAGCGACGTCCACGAGGAGCGACCTTAGACGCGAGGGGAACGATATAAACGGTTACTACGTTCAGAAAACAACGGTTATACAACGGTTGATCAATTCGTCCGCACAATTGGTCCAATTTAGGGATCTAACGGTAAAGACCGGTAATCACTGAATGCTCACTGGTCGTTTGTTTTTTTTTTGTTCCTTTTCTGAACGTAGCCGATCTAACAAGTATAAAATCGATAGAGAGTCTCTCCTTACTTGACTTTCCCGCCGCAGAATTGGCAGTGCGCGCCCTGCCATCCCTCGCGGCACACGCAGGTGCCATTGACACAGTCGCCGTTCAGGCAGCTGTCGGCGTCGCAGCCCGTGTCCGCACTCGGCGACGACGAGGAAGTGGAAGCGGCGGCGCTTACGTGCACCACCCAGCAGCAGACCAGTGCCGCCCACAGTAACGGCCACGGTAGTAGCGCGATCGCGCCATGGCACCGCTCGTGCCGGCAATCTCGCGCCGCGGCAGCAGCCTCGTCGCGGCCGTGCAGCCGTCGTCGCTGCCGCCACTGCCCTTTCCGACGGTACTTGGACTTATATAGGAACAAAAACATCTGCACGACCTCTGCCATTTTGGTAGGCTTCCATGTCAGAGACAATGGCCGACGGCGACGCACCGAGCGGGGACGCGCATACGGCGTACTGTGAGACACCGCCGATGCCGATGCTGACGTTGCTGTTGCTGCCGTCGTCGTCGTCGTCGTCGCCACCGCCGTCGCCGCCGCCGCCGCCGATACCGCTGTTTCTTCTTCTCCCGGCAGACCTTCTACCGCTTCTTCCTCTCTTTTCGCAACCGCTCGCGACCCGCTCCACTCGCGCGACTCGCTCTACTGCCTGCCTGTGCGCTGCGCGCTCGCCGACCCCGAAAGAGAGAGAGAGAGAGGGAGAGAGTGGGGGTCGCCGCCACCGCCGCGCCACGGTGCGTGCGCATACCATGGACTTCCATATACTACCCTAGATCGCCAACGCGTCCGCACGTAACCTGTGCGTATGTACCGGGCGCGTACACGAGGACGAGAGAGAGATGCTGTCCGTGAATTTGCAGTATTTAGCGGCGGCCATATTTGGCTCCGGACGCTGCGAGATGCTGCTCTTCACGGTGGCTGGCTGCGCGAAGTCGCGGAATGCGTCGTTATCGTCAGGCGGGAAGAACATCCTGGGATCCACGCCGACAGCTGCTGGAACGGCTCCGAGAGACGCCGATCCTCTCTCTCTCTCTCTGTTGATATCTAATTACTATTTAATTACTCTTAAGCTGCATTCGTTCGGTTGCTCACGTAGTCTAAGTGTCGTTCCCTCTTCCTTTGGCATGTAAGTGTCGGTCCACAATAGATGTTTTAGGCCTTAAGCCTTAAGAAATTGACCAATCACAACTGATTATTCTTCTGTAATTCGATTGTCTTCTGTAACTCGATTAGCCAATTTTTTAAAGTTCAAGATATATATCTATTGTAGACCGACACTAATTGACAATAAAGATAGAACGACGGCTTGCAGCGCGTAAGCGCTTAAATTTAACGCAGCCTTAAGGGCATACATAACCTTTACGGAATATTTCCAAATCGCGATACCTCGCGTATCACATTGACCCTAAATGAAATATAGCATGACCGTCGGCTTCATGTTAGTGTCGGCGATCTGGAATAATATATGAAAATCTATGCCACTTACATCGAGACGCAGCGACGAAAGGGTGAAAATAGTCGATATAAATCCTCGCAAAGTAGAATCTCTGCGGAGCCGGAGGTAATTGAAAAAGTGGCGGCATTACCGAGCGGCACTTCACCTGTACCGAAGGTAACCCGAACGTTTCACGTCCGTCACCACCGTCATGATTTAAATCTAATCGACGATTAACTCAACGGAATTGACCAGTCGCATTGATCGGTTCAGCTAATTGGCCAGTGGCGACGATTGGTCGATTCCGTTGGATTGATCGTCGATTAGATTTAAACCATGATGGTAGAAGCGAGCGTCGATCCGATTAACTCACTGTTTTATCGACGGTGAAGATTACTGCGTAGAGCTAAGCAGACTTTGTAACTTTCAAAGACAGTATCATTATCGTTAAGTTGTTATTGTTGTTATAAATGGCGGGAGAGCTGCGTAACAATACCGTGACAACACACTCGTTAAAAGAGAATTGGCCGATAAAGGTGGGCAAATCGTCCGTCCTTATCTGACTAAGCGGTCTTACCTGTAAACACAGAACAGAACCAAAAAATCGTGCACATAGCGCGGAACAGAACCAGAAAACTGTGGACACCGGCTTGACCGTTCGTACACGAGTTACATGGACATGGAGGCGCTTCAGAATAAAGTAACAGCTTCATTGCAGCCATGACCGCTCTCAGGCTCCTACCGATTTGGCAACACTGAACATTTAAGTCTGATCTACAGTGTGCTTTTTGCGTCTTGTTCTTGTTCTCTATCTTTCGTTCCGTAAGAGAACCGTAAGAGACTTAAAGCCTGATCTACAATATGTCTCTTTGTTTCTCGTTCCCCGCTCTTTATCTCTTTTCCGCAAGTAAATAGAAGTTCTTACGGAAGGAAGGAAAAAAGAGAAGGAAGAGAGAGAGAGCGAGAAACAAGAGGCGAGGAGCGCATTGTAGACCTCGCTTTACACTATACAAGGGAGCGACCTTGCCGGCAGGCGGTAACGGCGGAACGGACGGTCTCGGGGGTAGTTTACCGCGGACGCCGCGTCGGACCGAAGCGCGCGGTGCAAGACGGTAGACGCCATATTGCGCGATCGAGGGAGCCGAGTGTTGACCGAATGAACGCGCGGCCTACGTGTTTACGCGGCTTGAAGTCGTGGTAGAAGCGCGAATCGATTCCCTGGCCGTTCGCACGACGTGAAGACGCTGCCTGCGCGCCGTGACGATGCGTGCCGCACGAGCACAGAGCGCCGCTGACGGCATGAGCGACGGCGGCGAGGACGGGCCGCGTGAGAGGAGCATCACCGCCAGCGGCGGCGGCATCGCCACCGGGCGAAACGGCGAGCTCACGATGGAAGACATTCCGATAGGATCGACCGCCGTAATAAGGGGCCTGATCAATTTGAAAGCGAAGGAGGACGCGCTGCGCGACGAGGACGCCGTTGCCGTCGGCGAACACGACTCCGCGCGTAAGCGTCGCGACGCGAACGCGCCGAGCGACCACGAGGACGGTGACGCGCGCGTCGTGCTCCCCGTCGTCACGGACTTCGTCTCGACCGGGGTATGTCGTGGTCCCTTCAACGTTTCTTTCCACGAATCGCATAAAACGACAGCCGGCCGTCGTTTAACTCCCAGTCCGATTGAATTCGACGACTCGATTCGGCCAGGGATCCCCGCTCGCGCTTGTGGATCCACTCGAAGCCAAGAATACAGTCGCGAACAAAAGTATCGTCTGATCCTTTCTTCTCGTTGAAAGAGTCAGTTACGATATATTTGCCTTGTAATTTAGTATTTGTTATCTTAATGAGGAGTAATTCAGTTTTAGGTGCTGCGTTCAGCTGCTCCATCACTGGACTTAAGCTTCCAGTTTTAGGTGTTAGTTTTAGGTTTAGATCGTTATTATCTTATGAGGCTGTTGTAGTTAATGGATCTCTTATCTGGGATGAGATACTTGTGTATGTTTTTCTGTCGGCCCGTTCTTTGTAGCTAAAGTGGCTGCATCGGTTTAAGAAGTCGACATACACGCTGAAGCTTACGTGTGAGATTCTCATGCTTCAGCTTGCATAAATTTCTTGAACTTGTACTGTTAGTTCGACCAGAAAGAACAGACCGTGTGACTCGGTGAAGTCATATCCAAATCCTTTATCACAATATGCGAGGAGCATAACAGTCGAACGATGTACCGTTTTGTTTATTATTTTATGTTCTTTGCAAACTGCACAGTCGGTTTTTATTTGTATCATCGCCGCTCTTAGAGACTGGAAAGTTCGTCGCATGGGTGAGTTTACTCTGATACCAGCCGTTTGATCATTGCAGTGCGCAACGGTTGACGACAGCCTGATAAACGCGTTTATGAGGGGCGTGAGATTGGGAGTCAGCATGGAAATGAGCAGCCCGCCTCAACTGGCCGACGCACTTGTCAATTCGTACTCCTCTACGGCAGCTGTGGACAGTGCGTCGCGCTACGGGAAGGATTCCTGCTCCTGTGATACTTCCAAAGCTAAACGGTAAAGTCAGCGATTGGGAGTCTATCGAGAGGCGGACAGAAGGTGTTAATCGGGTGTTCCTTGGATAGAGATATGTTTAGGGAGGAGTTGCAGAAAGCTATGAAGTTCCAAAGCCTATGGAGCGAGCTGCGACAGTGTATACGTGCTACCTTCAACGCCACCTTGGAAATAGCTCGTGCCTCCTCGGAGCCTCCAGAGTCCCAGTGCAGATCATCTTTGAACGATATGCACGATACCGTTATTCAGTAAGAAATCATCCGTGATTACTCAGGATGTTCTCCGTAACAGTGTTATCTAGCAGACTTGTGTGTGTATGTGTATGTGTGATACCAACTCTTCTCCGCAGATTATGTAAAAGGGACCCCCACCAGCTTTTCATGAGGCTGGTGAGCCAGGCGCAGGAGTTCGTGGTGGAAGTAAAAGTTCGTTTGTTAGCACTTCTGAACGATCGTAGCGAGAGCAATTTAGCGGAAATTTTCCTCACCGGTTAGTGTTACTTCGTAAGCGAGAGCTTACACGTAGTCCACAAAGGAGCACGCATGGCACTGGGAAATTTGTACGAATCTTCATGCGTAGGTTTGTTGGACGACTACGACGCCCTCGTGTCGACGGCGATTCAGATTTCTGACTTGGTGAAACCGTTGAAAGATTACCTCTTCAAGTTCAACTTGACGTGGGACTGTTTCATCAAAAAGTTGTATCAAATTTACGTTTACAATGACCCCTTCGTGCAGGACAATCTGCCTATGCTTATCGGCCAGGTAAGATCACACACACACACACACGTCCGACCGAAGATACGGGTGAGACACGATTTGTAACACGAATTGAATTTTAATGTTTACACGCGCTCGCATTCGCAGATGAGAAAGCTTCTGCCGTTGAAAGGCCGGGAATACCAAGGTCTTGTTCACAGATATTTATCTTTCGACGAGGAGGTTTCGAGGATCGCTAATTTGTGGCCTGAAACGGAACGATGGATGGATAAATACAAGTAAGTTGGAGAATATCGTTCTGCCTGACGTTCTCGCGATAAAACAATATCATTTCGGACGTCTTTTGCGGAAAAAACGTCGTGGATGTGTAAGGCAAGGTTACATGAGCAAAATGTTATTCAGTGCAGAACAAGCCGTTCGTATGACGAGACTCAGGCAGATCAGGGAAGCCTGGGAATTGTTCACAGCAACGCGCAAGTTTGTGGAGCGCAACATGTTGAACAAAACGTGTGACATGGGAAAGTAAGTTATGTAGGCCGATATTCATAGTCGAGTCTTGTAATTAAGACCATGTTAAATTCATCTTCAGATGCGTTGTAGCCAACAAAATTCGCGTACAATTCAGTTACGAGAAGGTTGCAACATTTTTCTCGACGAATCTAAGGGCTTTGAGAAATCGATGTTTTTACGAACAACCTCTTCTCTCCTGTCTCTCACCCCGTCAAAATACTATTTCGTTTTATATCTCGAAAACATGTAACGTAAAAAAGATCCTATACATGTATACATCATATTAAAGTTTTCGGTCCACATTCTGGACTCAATAAAAGTGTTTCTGAAAGTGGCTTAGGAACCACCTGATTGACTGAGAACTCACACTTTAAGGCACTTTTATCGATAAAAGTGAGTTCAGAATGTGGACCTTTGAATTTCCCTTGTTTAATTACTGCACGTCGCCAAGACGTAAGGACGTCAGGAGTGTAGATTTAGAGAAAGTCTTATTATTTCCAAATGTAATCTCTTCAAATTTCTCCGAATCACTTATGGTGAAAATTTGGTTTCTCAGTGAAATGCAAGAGATCCATGGACAGTTTTCGACGCTCATCGCGGGTACGTCCGAAAACAACAGCCGCCCTTCGAGTCCTGTAGTTAACTTCACTTCGGATTCTATAACTATGCCACCGAGTATAGAGATAGTTCAAATATTGCTGGACGATTGGAACAAGGCGCAACATCAGAAGCTGGCAGACATAGTTGGGGCATTGACCGCCAGTGAGGTGGACGCTGTCGGACAAAAGGCTTACGATTGTCACGATTACACGCGTATAACGTGCCACTTGGCGCAATACGCTATTAGATCGGTCAAGTACGTGCACTTGTCTGAGATGAAATGTAGCGTGTTAAACTCGCGTTTATATTTCGTATTATAATCCCAACTCCCTTGACTCAGAAGCAATCACGATGACTCCGGCGGTTTGGAGAATGGACTCGAGAACGGGAAAGAATGCGACTGTCACTCTTGCCATGAAACGGAAGTGGAATGTACGGTAAGGGAATTACATTTGTTCTTTTGAGCCCTCTTCACATTTATTGGTTCGTTTATTATGCACGAGTTAAGTGATTATAGTATAACGACTTCTCTTTCAGTTCTCAATTCTCTTTCAATTCTCAAATATTATATACGTTAAAATCGAGTGAAAATTATCTATACCTAGATGATAATATTAATCTTCAAAAGATATGTAAAAATATGGATTAGCAAGTTTTTGGCAATAATCTTCAATAATTGAAGGTTTCGTTCAACTTTCACGATTACATTAGTAATTAATGACGTTACCTTGTCACAGGATATGGAAAGTAAACTAGAAAAAGACACGGTGGAGAAGGAAAATACAAGTTCACCTCCGATCCTTAGCAACGGGTTCCCAGGTAAGAGATAAACCGGCAGATTAATGATAAATAAACAGACGACACATATCGATATCGAGGTTAACGTGTTTTTAGAAGGAGCCGTGAATTGTACAGCGACGCAGGTTAAAAAGAAGCTAGACAATTCCAATGACGAAGAGGCGAAGAAGGAGTCGTCGGGCGTGCGCAATGCTTTGCATAAAGACGCCGCCACGAAGACACCCGGACTGGAGCCTTGCTCTTGTGTTTACCAACACGCGAAAGAAATAGCGGAAAGGAAGAAGGAAATCCTGGAAAACCCGCCCTGTCCTTGTCTACTGAGCTCGAGGCGCAAATGGGACGCGTGTCCTTGTTTGACTAAATGTAAATATATACAGGGCGTTTTAAAACAACCGCTTGTCCCTCGAAAGACATATTCCTGACTGGATTCTGAGACGAATTTTTTTTTCCTAACTTTGTCCGAAGCTTAGTACCCCCGTGTCCCCGTATGTTCTCGCGTCTGAGGGTGAGTCGCCTACTTGTACTCGATTCACCTATAATTCAAAAATCAATCTTCGGACGAGGTTGTGAAAGAGGAGAAGTTGTCCCCGAATCCAGCCAGGAATGTCTGTTGAAGGAGAAGCGTTTGTTCTGAATCAGCCTGTATAAATTATTTTATATCTTTGACATATCCCCCTCCGTGACTACGAGAGAATAATATCACGTGTACACTAAACAACACAACGACGTGTGCGAAAGCAGCTGTACAGCCCACAACGGTTCTGGCGAACGGTCGGCCCAAGCCAGTGCCGCAGGCCTCCGTCACTGTGAAAACTATTCAAGAACCGAGCCCGAAACCAGCGGTGAAGACCGGCTCCACGCAATCCGCGCAGACCCAAACGAGGCATTCTACCACGCAAACGCCGAGCGCTGCTCACAATCATAACGCTCATCAGGGTGAGTGCGACGGCATCTCCCCCGTGTCACCTCATGTCGCTTCGATCATTCAATTCCGCCTTTCTATTGTCATTACGTGTCTTTACGTGTGTATATTCTTCACGTGAAAACAGGTACCATTCATCCGTTCCCTCCTGCACCACTGACGGACCCGACGAAAAACACAGGTGCATCCTATCCCAGATTTTACATGTATAACAATCATACACCGCACCTATGCCACAGACAAGCCAATGTCGAGCACATCAAGAGAGTGTCGTGTAATGATTGTCAGTATATATGTACTGCGTATACATTGTCGAACCAGCGCGTCGGTTATCGTCACGTTTTAACGTGGGTTTTCAGTGAGTTCCGGAGACGGGGACTGCTCGGACTCGGTGAGCAGCCAGGAGGACTCGTGTTCCACCAGCAGCTCGGCGCAGAGGGATGTAAACCGGCACTGTGATTGCTGTTACTGCGAGGTCTTCGGCCACGGAGTTGTGAGTTTGTTTGCGCCGAATTCTTGCGTTTAAAGGCGTTAACGGGCGGACAGATTTGAACCTGTGAAAAGTCAAATTTAACGCGTTACTACAGAGAGTTAATCGAATGCGAGAAATCCTTTCATAGGCTATTTATATCGTATTAACGATACTTATACTGTATTAACGATAAAAATATATTTGAGATTAAGAAGTATTAACGTATGGAGCTTATGTAAATATTTCTTAGTGCACAGCAGAGATGGATAAGTTAATTTTTCTTCTAATTATTACCCAATCCTGATATATAGTATGAATAGCCTACAAAAGGATTTTGCGTTCAATTAATTCCTACACCTGTAGTAACGGATTAAATTCTAACGACTTTTACGAAGTTCAATCCTTTCTGCTTTCTTTAAGCGGACGACTAACGAATGTGTCTCCTGTTCTTAGCCATCGGTCGCGCCGGTAAGCCGGAACTACAACGAGATGCGGGAACGACTGCGGCAGCTGTTGACGAAGAAGAAGGCGAAGAAGTGTAAGGCCGCCGGCTGCAGTCCGCCAAAGAGCCCGTCGGGGTCATCGCCCCACAATGCCAATTCTGAGTCCAAAGGGGCGAATTCCGTTCCCAGATCGAACACTCCGATTTCGACAGCCTCGACCGTCCAACAGGACCAACGGGATCAGCGGAATCTGGAGGAATTGTTGGAATTCATCGAAGGCAATCACAATAGCAAGAAAGATAACAACAAGAAGGCCGAGAAGAAAGCGAGGCAGAAGCAGCGGAAGGTAAAATTATGACAATGCGCGCTTCTGTATTCAGTTTGACGTTAACAACGTTCTCCATTCCCTCGGCAGCTCGAGGAGAAGATGAAGAAGGACCGGCAAGAAGCTCAGAGGCAGAAGTTGATAGAGCTGCAGAAGAAGACGCCTGAGGTGACCATCACCGTGGTCGATCCTAAGAAGCCTCCACATCGGAAATTCTTGCCTCAGTGCGGCTTACCGGAAGTTTCCATCCTGCCGACGTCTTCGCGAGTATCCTTGCCCGCGATAAAGCCGTTGAACGACAAGAAGAAGGATAAGCAAGAGGTTTGTAGCGACGGTAATAGCAGCAACGGCTCCGTTAGTATTAATCGTTTAAATGCAAAGACAAAGACGTCGTCTGCGAATGCGAAGAACAAAAGTATTAACGGTACTGATAAGTGCGAGATACGAAGTACGAATCCCAGTCAAGGTAACAAAGGTAGCGCGAAGGGCGATAAGGTCGAAGCGAGCAACAAGGGCGGCAAGCCATCCGCGAACGCCGTGTGCGCGAAAAACGGGCCTAATGCGGACAAATCCTCCGACGTGGATCCGCTCGACAAGAAACTGACGAAGAAGGAGAGGAAGAAGCTGAAGAAGGAAATGAAGAAGCTGGAGGAGGCGAAGGCGAAGGAGTCCGGCGGTTCGGCACCGACGGAGTCCCAGCCGCAGATAGTCACCATTAAGAGGGTGCTCGAGTCGAACAGCGTCGAGCCCACAGTCACGATCACCCTGAAGGGCCAGACGCCGGCCGAGGACAAGGTTTTATTCACCTTAGTGAACGGTCAGACGAAGGAGCCTTCGTCCAACAAGGAACAAGAACAGAACCAGAGTAACGGCGGCAAGAAGAAGAAGGCCAAGGGGAATAACAGCAACAACGCGACTCTGCAACAGCAAGGGAACAAGTTGCAGCAATCGAACTCGAATTCGACGAAACAGCAAGCGCAGCAGGCAGTGGCCAAGGTCGGCGACGGCAAGAATCTGAAGCAGCAGGCGAGTAACGAGAAGTCGAAGACCGGCAAGCAGCAGCAGCAGGACGAGAAGAAGGCTCAACAGCAGACGGCCGGCGAGACGAAGAGCTGCAAGTCGAAGAAGGACAAGAAGAACACGGAGAATAAGGAGAACATGCTGCAGCAGCAGAACACGTTGAACAAGAGCAAGAATCAGCAAAACGCCAATAACAGCAACGGCAAGAAACAGAGTAAGGTGAGCACGCCTCCTCAGACGCCGGTGTCGCAGAAACAGCAACAGCAGAGTGTCACGAGCGAGTCGGCGGCTGGCAAAAAGGCGAAGAAACAGCAGCAGCAGCAGGACAAAAGTGTACAGTCCAATTCCAATAAGAACAGTAAGAACGTTAATAATAACAACGCGAACAAAATGACGAACAAGAACGATTCTCAGAAAAGTGCGGGTAAGGCGAGCCAAATTGCCGGCAAGCAACGTTCGCCCGCGGAGGTGCAGAGCAACGAACGAGTCAACTCGCCGCTCAGTAGCCAGTTCAAGGACATCGGCCCGAACTCCAAGATCGACATCGAGAATCTGAAGCTACCGCCGGGCATCACGATCACGAAGGTGGACGCCCCGGCGAAGCCGATCCCGATCAGACCTGCCCCCATGCCGAAGCCGGTCAATCCTCCCAAGCAGACCACCATCATCGCCGCGCCGATGAGCGGCGTACAGTCGAGCTACGCGAGCTCGCAAGCTGGCGGGAACGTCATAGTGGTGGACACGGGGAAGCTCAAGCAGGACTTGCTGCCGAAGACCAACGAGAAAGGTGAGCCAAGTTTCCCGCGAGATTTCCGCGCGCGCGTTTCGCTGAAAAGAAATTCGAGGCCTTCCGATGAGAATGTAACATCGTTGCGTTGCCAATTTAAATTAAATTGATCATTTATCAAATATGACAACAAATATATTTCGTNTTTTTTTTTTTTTTTTTTTTTTTTTTTTTTTTTTTTTACCATTGACACATCAAGTGAGAGTCTTACAAATTTTGTTTTGTCAATTTTTAAGTATTTGATAATTTTTTAAATAAAAAATAATTACACGTTATGACATTCGTGAATTTTATTTCTCGCTGATATTGTGGTAACATTAATTTCTCTTCATTTGGGACAATTTTACTAATTCTATTAAAATAGTCATTGTGACTAGAGAGTAGCGCTTGAATTTTTTTAAGTATTTATAAGTATGTTTATTCAATGTACAGATATTATAGTGTGGAGTGCATAAAATTTGAAAAGATACATCGTAAATTTATCGTCATTTTATTACAGATGATTTAAAGTATAAGAGAAGACAATGTATTAATTCTGCACGGAAAGAGGCAGAAGATGTTGCATGTTTTAAGAAAAGAAATGCTACGTTTCTACGTAGAATAATTCAACAACTATAAGATCAGAATTTTTCGCTCGGGTCCATTTGACCGATGAGTATCAAACTAGAGTCAACGACATTAGTATTGACAAGAGATGTCTCAGCAGATCGGGACGATTCGATTAAATTCTCCGGCGTTGTTCTAGATGGGCCGAAAGAATCTCAAGCTCCTATCAGCACCAGCAGCAAAAAGAAGAAGAAAAAGAACAAGAATTCGGGGAATTCGGCGAACAGCACTGCGGCTTCCACGTCGCCGGTGCGAAGCAGCGAAGCGTTCGCGAATCACGATCACGGTGTGATCGACGAACCGGCCAGGATACTGCACAATCCCGGCACGAACATGGTGACTATAAGGAACCCGTCGTTCGGGCCGATGAAGGTGCCGCCGACGCAGCAGGCTGCCATCATAAAGGTATCCGAGAACGGCATGGTGACGATCAGGAGTCCGGCTCTGCAGCAGGCGATCAATGCCGGCCTGACGTCAGCGCCCAGGCCGGATTACATCGTCAAGGGTGACATGTCCGCCAACCGGATGCCGACGGCGACGTCCGACAGCACGGGCGGCGCCGGTTCGAAGCACACCGGCGCCGCGGTTCTACCGTCGAGCCTCGCGGAATTGCGCAGCCGACTGGCGCCGACCGACTGCGCCTCCCTCTCCGGCCTGGCTAACATTCAGATCAGCAAGGTAACGAACGGCCAGCCGATCCCGGAGAACGGTATCAATCTGAAGGGCACCAGCGTGACCCTGACCAAGGTGAAGCCGGCCAACGCGGCGACCACTATGGAGGACGCGAGACAGTCGAAGAACGCGGTGAAGGAGGCGATGAGCGCCTCGATCATGGCGACTGGCGGCGGCAACGGTAGCGGCGGCAAGAGCAAGAAAAAGAAGAAGCGCGGAGGCGGCGGGACGAGACAGTGCGGGGATGACTGGAACCTCGTTGGTGAGAAACAACAATAATCAGACTTTAACATGTAAATTTGCTTCTTTCATTTTGTTTGTTTTCTTTAACATACACACGCACACACACGTACACATATCCGGGTTGCATCTTACGCTCCCGGCGTGACTACAAATCCTCCCTTCTCGGGGGAGGTGAAAGAACGAGAGGAAAGAAACACTACCCATACGTATCTCTCTTTCTGGACTCACTCGTAGGTTCATCAGTGCATTGACAACGGCTTTATCTTAAGCTTCGCATCGCCGAGAGAAGGCACTACCTACGTATGTTAGAACACGAAGACACTCGTTCTCTGGGTCGAAAGATTTTTCGCACACCGGATGGATTTGTCGAATAACGAATATCCTCGAGGGATAGACAGATAGATAGATAGATTAATAGATAGATAGGTAGATAGATAAATAGATAAGTAGGTAGGCATGTTAGTTTAGGAAAAGAGATGCACAGAGAGACACGCTCTCGAGAATCGTTGTCCACGAATTTCTCGAGGAGAAATCGCGATCCGGAAGAGAGACGAGTAACTAATGAGCACTTTTTTTGATTTTCTCTGTCGCGTTTTCCTACCGTCCCGAGAGCTCGTCTCGATATCGCGCTTCTTTCCGGGCGATATTCTTTGTCGAATACAGTTCCTCCATAACGAGCGTAGAACAGGGTCCTGTCGTACGGACTGAGAGGGCTTGTCACGTTTATTGTGAATCCGGACTGACTAGAATAGAATCTCGCGGTGCGGCGTGAATCGTAGATCGTCGGCGCGAACGAGAACCACCGGTAACGGAAGAGAGAGAGAGAGAGAGAGAGAGAGAGAGACTTCCGTTGACTATGACAACGACACGCAACACGTAGATGGGATTTCATTGTGATAACATTGTGACGATGCGCATGAGTGCGACGTATAATTCGCAATATACGATATTTTTTAATCTGCTGATAACATTAAATAAAAAGGAAAATACGTTTCTTTTTTCTCTTCAGTGTTATAATCTCTTCTTCTCCCCTTCGTCGGGCGCAGAATCTCTGAGGACTCTTCTTCTCGTAGTGAAGTGTCGCACGAGTATGGGTAGTCGTTCACTCACTCACTTACTCACTCACTCACTCACTCACATTGTTTGTTCCTCCATTGTTTCATTCTACCTCCTTTTCCCGGTCGAGACGCGTCGGGGACGACGCCGTCACCTCGCCGTCTGTGCGATTCTCGCGGTAAATTTCGCGCGCATGCGCTCCGAATCGGTCACATATCGAATTTGCCGAACAGATTTGTCGTGTTTCCCACAATGACGAAGAGGAGTCTCACACAAGATGCAACTCCGCTAATACCGTTTCGCACGACGAAAGATCGCAGGGAGAGAGAGAGAGAGAGAGAGAGACCATCACTTGTCGTCAGCTTGAGGGGTTGCCGTCGATCGGTCGTTGATCGATTCGTCCAGCATCACACACGAGTATTTTTGCCGGTACACAGTCACTCCACATTTCGTGAATTAAATTGTAAATTTTGCGAATTGCCGTGAGTGGCCGTGTTGAAACGTCCGAACGAAACTTAGCGGCATTTCACCTATTCCTCGATCCCTCCACTTGGTTACATTTACTACATTTTTACCTACACAGTATATCCGTCATGGACGTAGCCAGGATTTCAGTCGGGGAGAGGGAGAAGAAATTTATCTTCACACAAATTTTATTTTATTCATCTCGTTTTGGGGCTCTCCGTGCGCGCGTCTGAAACCAGATTCTTCCTGAGTAACTGAAACACGCCAGAATCATTGCAGACAATGCAGACATTGCGTTACAAATTGTCCGCTCAAATTTCTGTGTTACTTCAACAAAGTGGATATGTTGAAAAGTAACATGTTAACCAGGGCGAATATATTAATTCAACATATATTCGCGTACTTTTTAACATACTCCCCGAAGTTGAAGTAACGCAGACATTTCAGCGGATCATTTTTTACACCAAATTTTTTACCGTGACTTCTGACGATGAAATTGAACAATTTTCATTGCATTCACTTTCACAAAACATTGCTGGCTAATACTTTGTTGTCAATTTTTAATTATGAAACGTGTACTGCAGCTTCTTTGTCGAATATAGATCGCGATATATCGATTATATTTCTTTATTATGATTTTCATCATTCAATTACTTCTACTTGTCAAAAATTTAGAAGGGAAGGGAAGAAGCATCCCGGCTGCGCCCATGTATTCACCCATTCGGTGAAGGCGAAAGAGAATGAGATAAACGAGAGAGGGAGAGAGAGAGAGAGAGAGAGAAAAGAGTTGATAACAACAATAAGAGAAAAAAAGCTTACGAAAGAGGAGAGAAATGCGGATTGTTAGCAATCACCGTCGCGCCGCTGTACCTCCAGTATTCAGAGCGTGTCTTTTGCAGAGAGCGTATTCACGCCCAAAGATATAGACCTCGAGGACGGGGAGATGGACGACGCCGAGCGAGAGCTGGAGGCCTTCAAGAGGTTCTGCCTGCAGTCGGTGCCGCCGCCGCGCAAGGAGAAGGTCAATCTCAATCTCAAGGACATCGTGTTCAAGAAGAAATCATCATCGTCGTCGTCCTCGTCGTCATCTTCCTCCTCCTCCTCCTCGTCGTCCTCGTCGACGGCCGCGGCTGCGGCGACGACCGCCACCGTGATAGCGGCCAACTGATCTGTCGTCGGCTAATCTCGCGGGCGTTCGCGGTGTGCGACCAACTGCCAGAGTCGCGGTCCGACTCCGGGGCACGCCGACGACCCCGTACCGTTCGCGCGAGGGAGAGGAAGGGGGACTGCCGAGGGCTCGCTGGGGCTGAATCTCGGGTTTCTCTCGGAAGTGGGAAGTGGGAAGCCGTTCGCGTCGCCGACCATCGGGACGCGGGGACGGACTCGGAGGGACGCGGAGGACCGCGACGACGGCGTAACGAACGGACGGACGGCGGCCGCCGCACGACACATCGCTCTGTATATGTATATCGTTGAGTTATAATTAGGAAACGAATTCCTTAGGTCGCGCGCGCTAGCCGATGGCGACGATGAATGGTGGAATGATGATGATGATAACGGACCTGTCGAGATCGTCGGAATCGTCGTTGACGAGGGCGACGGTATTTGTAAAAACGCCGCTCGGCCTGGCCGAGGTTATGTTATAAATAACGCGAGTGTCGTGAGTGTAATCGTGTAACGAGCGCCGCCGTCAGCGTCCCGCGCGCGTACGGCGGCCGGAGAGCCTCGCGTATCCGCCGGGATCCGCTCGCGGAGTCGCTCGACACAATTATGCGGGGACACGCGAAGTACACACATAAACACACACACACACACACACGCAAACGTACGTACACGGACGCGCAAGGCACGCACGCATATGCAACGTGCATTCATAGACAGTTGATAGAGGCGTACGCATGAACGAACATACACAGACACACACATACGTACACACACTCTGTCTCTCTTCTTTCCTTTATTTTCCAATAAAAGCAGATACGCGTTTCTACCTACCTTAGAGCGTCTATATTACCTCTATGTGTCTCTCTGTATCTACATTCTCCTCGAGTAGTCCATACTACTACTAGCGTAGTACACACCGACAGGTTTATATATATACATAATTCAACAAATGTACGTCGTTTCTTATTGTATTGTAATTATTAAAATACTTTTTATACGGTAAACACAACGAGACTGAGGGTGTGAGAAATAGAAAGGGAGAGAGAGAGAGAGAGAGAGAGAGAGNAGAGAGAGAGAGAGAGAGAGAGAGAGAGAGAGAGAGAGAGAGAGAGACGGTCCGCCTTCCTCTTCAGCGCCTGTACATAAATTTATTCAACCCCCTGCTTCACCGTATGAAAAGATCGATAGATTATTTCGCGAATACACACGTACGTGTGTGCACATGTATATATGGTTGCCGTGCCACCGCATTTATCACGCTTTATATCGGGTTTATATTTCTCCACGGACAACTATAAGTATATTATTAATATCCGCGTGTGAGAGCGGAGGAAACAGTTGAACGCGGGATTCGAGTGAAGAATCGGCAGGGAAGGGCGGCCTTTTGTCGCACTTCCCGGCAGAACGAATGGCGTTGAGGTGCGCGTCGGTTCTCGAGGTGTAAAAGGAGAGGAAAGAAAAGAAAGAGACGCGGCTTTCTGCGTGTGCTTTTCTCTAATTGTCTCTTTTTATTCACGTTCAAGCAACAATAATTACACTTACAATGAGCGATGGTGATTCTAACAACAGATAATCTCTATCGTAGTCGCGAGTCATCCGTTATCTCGATCGTCGCCGACCTCACTGAATCAACCTCCCGTTGTTCGCGCGCAAACGCAGAGAAATGCTGATAATTTATCAGACAATTTGTATCCGATTATTTGTTCGCGCGCTCTCTCGCCGGGATTTCGAACGACCGCGAGTTCCGATTCAAGCGTGTCCTTTCTTCCGTGTTATCTTCGTGGAACTTCGAAATTTCACGGGGGGGAAGGGCGTTAATCCCTGCTGCGAACACGACCATTTCCCCGCCGTTCAGTTCTGAGCGAATTAACAATCTAAACCGACGGTCGTGCGCGGCGGGGTGAGTGTAACGGGTGTCATCGAGGAGATCGACCGTTCGATGGACTGTATCGCCGGGCTGTGCTGCTTGATCAACATGTGCCGCAGCGATTGCGCCTCCTCGCGTAGGGTCACTATCTGCGCCTTCAGGATCGCGTTCTCGTGCTCCAACATCGTCGCCCTCAGAGCGATCTGCGACAGACGCATTGTGGCGTTGAGGCTGGAAATTCAAGCTCGGGCGGGGGAGGGAGGAGCTGAGAAGCATAGACGTGGTAAGGTACATGTCTAGACCGAGCGTTCGTATTTATTTGAGGAATAGTCGAGGTGCGCGTAGAAAACGATGCGCTCGCGCATAGACGTGCGAGAACGGGAGAGAACGCATCCTTTTCCGCACCTCGTTCTCCGTTCCTCAACATTCGGTTTAGATGTATCGCGGTTGCGTTTCCTTTGGGCGCTCACGCGCTGTGAGCGTCGTTCTATCTTCTTTTGGTATATAATGTACAATAAAGATAGAATGACGCTTGCAGCACGTAAAGAGAACACAAAGAGAACGCAGCCGACGTCTATGAAAAAAAGAATCGGCCTGTCGTTCGCGTCGGACGACGTTTACGTGATCCTCCCGTATTTTGCGAGCGTCCCGCGACTTCTTCGCCGCTTGATTGTTCCGCTTGCGCCTCTCGTAGTACTTCTCGTCCTTCTGCTCGTCCGGAATCGGCTTCTTTTCGCTTCTAGGTCTCCGATGGAGGGTGGTGATGCCGCTCGTGGCGATGAAATGGCGACTCATGGCACCTGTTTTTTTCAGTCAGTTTTTCTGTGTAGTTTTCTTTTCTTCTTTGACACAAAGCTTATTACAAAATGCATTATTGCGTATCGTTGCTGCGAAAGATATCTCTACTGAGGGAAATTATATAGTTATTTTTGGCCTGAATTATAATCCTTCTTATGGCACAGAAATAGTAACAACTTGCATCCAAGCAAACGCCAGCAACATAACATCGGTGTTATAATTTTTTGTATAGTTACGAATACGATGTTTTTCTCTCAGTGCGGGAAGTTTCTTCTTGTCGCAACAGGACTTTATGATAAAAGAACAGATATTTTTATTTCTGCAACAAGGAACAAACTAGTTGCGCGTCAATCTTAAAAATTTGCAATTTCTCTCCTCGTTAAGATTTTTTATTAAATTCCACACGGTAAAATATGTCTATCGCACATTTCGTAGATTTTTTTAAGATCGCAAAAATTCCGTTACTTGTGCAAAATCATAAGAGGTGTGCAAATAATTTGCAAACGCAATTTTTACTCTCAAAAAGAAAGAAAAAAAAACTTGCCCCGGGTGAGGATCGAACTCACGACCTTAAGATTATGAGACTTACGCGCTGCCTACTGCGCTACCGAGGCAACTGATTACGAGGGATGAATTAAAAATCAAGACCGCCACACCCTCGAGCGAGAGCGTTCGATTTATCGAGGGGATCGTTTGAAAGTTCGAGAATCGATCGATACAAGATGGGAGAATTGAACCTACCGGTAGCGGGAGTGGAGAACGGTTGAGGCACGCTGAGCGATTGCATCAAGGGTGGCATCGCTGCGAGGAAGGGCGGTTGGAGCAGCGTACCCGGGAGCGAGAACGTCGTCGACAAGGAGGACGGCGTTAAAGGCGAGGATGGTGAGTCCGTGGACGCGACGGAGTTGGTTAGAATATCGGGCTCGACGAAGCCGTAGTCCCGGCCGGGATACGTCTCGTACCTGCACAGATCTGCGAATAGAAAGACGAGAGAGAGAGAGAGCGTTACCGATTCAAGATCAATTCGGGATCAATACGCGCGTACATCGACGGGTTGTCGCATTCGTCTTATCAAACCTAAAGCGGGAACGTCGACAAATCGCCGGTATGCGAAGGTACTAGCAGTTTAGACGCTCAAACGTCGACTGCCCCTGTGGCCTAATGGATAAGGCATCGGTCTCCTAAACCGGGGATTGTGGGTTCGAGTCCCACCAGGGGTACGCTTTAGTTTTTTTGCACGTATCACAAGCGAATGGACAAACAGATCAAAATAAGGTAGAATTTTTGTTTATATTCTTGCGGAAGAAAATCCATCCTGCGCGTGGAAACGGTATTTTCTTTTTTTCCACAGACGATAGTGTCTTTCTCTGTTGCGCGACAGAGGTATCTCTCTCTCTCTCTCTCTTTTCTCCTCCTTCTCTCTCACACACACACACACATTACGCGGGATTAGTATTTTATAAAAATATAACGTGCAATATTCTTTTCCCTAACTTATCTTTCATCCTCGTTATTCTCGTTTTTCCGCTTGTGCCCTTACATTTCGCAAACGAAGCGGCCGTTCTTTCTCTCCCTCCCCTCTCCCTGCGATTAATTAATCTCACGGTACACGGGAGAGTAAGTTCGTTAAGTCGCTTGATCGATGGAAAATTTATCTGACACTGGAAATTTCGCCCGCGAGAGTTGAAACTTTTACTTCCCGGGGTCTGTGTGAGGTGGCCGGTGTGGCGCGCGATTGTGTGCACGCGGCCGCATGCTGCCACGTACCGACGACGATGAAACATCGGCGGCGCCCGAATGACGTCGTGATAATGCGACCGACCGGGTCCCGTTCGTTTCGTGTGCGGAAAACCGTGCGAACATTCGCGCAAATTGCGACTGTTACTGAATCGTAAAATACGCGATGTTAACTGCGACTTAAAGCGGCAGTTACGATTTTAAGGAACGGAACCGATGGCGATGCTACGAATGAGGTAGCCGTCCGTAACGAGAAACGCGCTCGCAAAAATCAAATAGACGCGATTTTCCCCGGATGAATGGGTCGTACGGGATGTTTCGGGACATTTTTTTTTTTCTTAAATATCTACGTCAGCGGTGGCATGTAAATTCACAGCGATTTGTCAAACGACATGTGCGTGTGACTTGCTTGGAAATGGCTTGAATGCTTGAACTGAGACGATTTGTGAAAATTTTCAGGATAAATTATCTAAACGATGTTATTTGTAAATATTTGCAGTATCAGCCGTAAATTATTATTAAGTAACAAATCATTACTTGATTCATCATAGCTTTTTTTAATTATTACTGGCGGAAAATGCCGACAACAGGTCTCGAAATATTCGCGTTTTATGAGGAAATGCATTTGTAAATTGTTTAAAAAATCTTGATAATGATAAAAATATTTATCGACGAGCGCGAAAGAAGTAAAGGGTTCGGAAAATGAAAGAAAAAAATATACCTCCACCGTGACAATGTTTTTTATACATTGCCGTGACCAGGATTCGAACCTGGGTTACTACGGCCACAACGTAGGGTCCTAACCACTAGACGATCACGGCTACTGGAGGAGTTGAGAGTCGAGTGGAAATATTCTCAGATCTGAGCAGACATTGATCGACTTGCTCATTTGTGCATAACGAGAGCGAATGAGTTGTTAATATCTCTCCAGCGTGAAATCGTTACCGCTTAATATTCGCACGTGAAAGTATACGTCGAAGACAGTAGCCTGATATTACCGACTCGGTATTTATTTTATCGAGAGAAGGTAATGACGAAACTTCGGTTGGCATGATAATTCTTTGCAAAATTATATCTATATCTTTTGGTGTTTTTCTTTAAGTATTCTAAGCAAATTAACTAAATCTATTAAATCACATTAACTAAACAAACTAAATTAATTTAAGTCAAAAAACAAATTTTAAAACTGTTTGATTATAATAATATTAATCGGACTATATTTAGAGGTTTTTATATATTTATGTGTGCGTGTATCTGTGTGTGTGTGTGTGTGTGTGTGTGTATGTGTAGCGTATTTTCTTTACCTTTGCAAGATACTTTGTTAGGATTAGTTCATTTGCAATGGAGAGAAGATGAATATTATTCAAGCGCACGGATATATGAAAAAGTTCATACAAACATTTTAAAAAAGACCGAACACTGACACAAGGGCAAAATCTTTTCCTACTGTGCACACATAATTTGAAAACATCTTGCAAATTTAATAGAAGAGAAAAGCAGAATCCGTTTATAAACGTTTAAACGTTCAGTCGAAACGGACTCCATCAAGCATTTCTAAGCGTTCCTAAGCGGATACACACTGAACGTCTAAACGTTCCCGGCCGTATTGTTAGACGCACTTTGATTTTTCAATAGAATACAGGTGAGGAGGAGAAGAAAGGTACTGCTAATTCGAGTACTTTTCGGTCCCCGCTCTCACCTACGCACCTGAGTTCGGGGCGAAGAGGCTGCAGCTCCGCAGGAGGTGCAGCGCGGAGAACGCGCCGGAGACTGCGTTGCCGGTGCACACCGTCCTCGCGTGAGCGTGCGAACTCATTTCTCGAACGAGGAGAAGTATTCTTCAGAGCCAGGGTGTCACTTGGCGGCGCGCATCTCTCCGGCCGAACGGTGAGGTCGCCGAGAGGAGTCCGGACGCGTCACGACGCATCGGGTCGCGATCGGATGTCGCGAGACGTGAATACACGGACAGTCCTCGGGATCCTCCGAAAGCTCGACGGTCGTTTCAGGCACAGCGGGTGGTGAGTCGCCGCATCTTCCCGGTTAAGTCGGGGAATCCCGCATCGTCCGCCGACGAAGGAACGCGCTTCCTTTCGTTCCGCTCTACTCTTCGACCGTCACGCGGTTCCTCGTGATCTCAGGCACAAACTCCGCGTCGTTTCGGCTTCCTCGGCGATTCCCGGGCTTCCTCGCACTCATCGCGCGGAACTCGTCGGAGGACGCCGCGAATTCACAGGGGGACAGCCTCTCGAGGCTTTGAGGCTCGTCCAAGGACTCGTCCGAGGACCCTGCCGATCGGAGGAGGTGCGACGGGTTACCCGGGAAAATCCGGACGCGACGGTAGGTTCGCGGCTCTCCTCGAGTTCCCGCTCGATTCCACCGCCGCCGGCACTGCGAGGATCGCGACTCCTCGACGGGATCACCTGGCGCGATGACGTGCGACGCGTCACGTGTTACAACATCGCGGGCATCGCGCGTCCGCGCGAAGGCCACTCGATTCGTCGGGTCGACGAATATCCCGCCTTCGGGAACATGCGCACAGACCGAGCGCCGGTTGATTCGCCGCTCTGCCGCCCCGCCGCGGCCACTCAGACGCGGCTTTGTCTTGTCAATTGTCTAGAATGGAGAGGAGCGGGGCACGAGCGGCCCGACCAATCGCGACCCCCGCGCTCCGTATCGGCCGATCTGCAACCCGCGGGTCATAATAGGTCGCGTGAATATCGCGGACGATGTGCGAAAGCGCGCGTCGAACACGGATAACCCGACGACGAGGGCTCTATAACGCGCGAGTCCCCGGCACGACATCACCGCGATGAATATTAACGCGGAATTTATCAGGCACCGGGGAAAAGTTCCTTCGCGCATTCTTCAGGTCGACGTTGAAAGACTCGGGACTTTTTTCAAAAGTAGTCTTAATCGAAACAGTCACCGTGGACGCACCGACATTGATGCGAATATTATTCGTGCTCAATTCGAGATTGAAATCTAAGAGTGTTATAATATTCTTGCTTATGTATGAGACTATCTATTTTTAAGACTAATTTTTTTCCACGTAGTTTTTCATCTCCCGGCTAACTTGTGGTTTAGACCGATGGTGGCACAAAAATCGAATTCTTTTTATATATTATCCTCGATTCCTCCTCTATTATATTACTTATATATTACAGTAGTGCATAATATTGTACATAAATGGTAGAAGTTACAGATACAATGAACGACACGTTTCAATGTAAAACGGTGAAATTAAGTCTATTAATTGGCAAAATCCGCTTTTCAACGCGGCAGAGTCACGTCCGAAGCGAGCGTTCGCGAGTTACGAGCTCGTAACTCGTCGCGCGTTGCCGCGAAAGAATAACGACCGGGTCCGTAATTTCAGGTAACCGCCAGAGAGATTTGGATCTGCCAATCATTACGCCTGTGTATTATCTGTGCTTCGCGTGGTTCATCGCTCGGTGGTACACGTCGCGGCCTCGATGACTGATCGCCGGCGCTTGTACGCACGTATCTGCGCCCTCGATCTGTAATTCTTATGACACGTACCATTTTTTTTAAGTCACTTGTCACCCGTTCTTCGTCGCACACGTTGATACGGAGAGGAATAAAACGAGAGCGGGAGGAGAAACGCGTTTTTATCACAGTCCTGGGGCGAGTTCTCTGACGACAAATGACGGGGATGGAAAAAAGTAACACGGGAGAAAAGCTACAAATGATATCACCGGGTAATAATTTCTGGCCAATAAGAGCCGGCCACGCAAGGATGTTGCTCGCGAATAATAATCTCTCGCGGAAGGGCAATAATGTCGACGAACATACGAACATGTCGCGCGGCTATTATTGGCCAGAAACTATTTCTTAGTGATGAAATATTTGAGACCGTTCACCCGTAATTGGCTTCCGACGTAACACACGTATGTTGTGAATGGTTACAACGTTAGTTAATCAATTGATTATTTAATTCAGCTTTGGAGAGCTTTTTTAGCCCCCTGGGACAAGCAGCCAAGTGCACAGAGAAGAAGGCTCCTTTAGATTTAGTATTTCTATTAATATGACTAAAATTTGCCTCACAGAAACAACATATACGAAATATGACTTGTTCGAGTAGAAATTTTATTGTCTCATTCGGAGGGAACTCTATTATTTAGCAAAAAGAACGCTGTTATTTGAAAAAATATCTTTCGCGGACCGCGCGGGGACCGGCCGGCCGATGGGAAAGCCGCGCGCGAAAAAGCGCGAGGTCGAAGGCGAGCGGCGGCAAGTTTGATCGAATCGTTACGGAAATTCAGAAAGTTTCGTCCCGCGGGCGGGCGCGAGTTGAGGCGCGGATTCTTCGCACGGCCGTTCTATTTTCGGAAATTACCGATCTTCTCCTTCGTCCTGCTGGGAGACTCGGGGCAGCGATGCAGCTGTGCGAGCTAGCACGGTCTCGAAACACGCGGCCGGAGAACGCGTTGGGTTGCGTTCAGAAATGAGGGTGCTGAGCAGAATGTATGGGGGGGGGGGGCAAGGTAGGTTTCATCCCGAATAGTTTTCGAACGCAAACGCATCAGGTACTGTCTCAGTGACGTCTTAAATGCGTCTAAAAGGCGTTCTATTTCTTTTCTCAGACATCTTTCAGACGTCTTTAAGAGATCTTTGAACAATTTGTTCTACCTGGGCGGTACATCCCGAACGTTCTCGAACGGTGCGAGTTTTTGAACGGGCGCATTTAGTCGAAACCTCTCCGAACGCAGCTTTATATTATTACACGCGCCCCCTCGTCGCGGTGCTTCTCTCGCCACCGGGTATATACGCGCGTATATACCACGTACGTGCCTTCTAATGTGCCTCTGGGACAGTCAGCACCTGACACTTTCACGTTACCTACGAATGTTTAATGCGCCGCCGGTAATTATTATGAAGTAAATTAGCCGGCGGCGTGCTGTATTAGTAGATCCACCCCCTTCCCCGGCCCGGCTGCCGCTCTCATTAATGTTGCAACTCCTCCGTCCCTGTAATTATGTTCTATGCGATTAACGGTCAAGAGATCGATTACCCTAGCACCATCGCGATCACCGCGGACCGAGCGCGTCCTTTGACCTTGCCTTGGCGGCTTTTCGTCGCGTGTTTTGCGTCTCAATTGCAACGAGGACTTAGGCGTACGTATCTTTGCCATCTTAAAATCCCTTGAGGTCCCTTGAATACACAGAGTCTGGGCGATTTTTGATTTTGAACAAATGGAGACGATGATTTTCATTTAGTTCTAGAGATCCTCCAATTATTTTACAAACTGGTTGACGGTTGAAGGTAAACTGCAACGTGTTGCGTGTAGCGAATGTGCACATATGTATTAATTTGCTCAGGGACTTTGCCTCATTAGACATCTATTTGATTAAATTTCACTGCTACAAACAGGTGAGAATATATTCGTTTGCACTTATTGAACTAAAGCTGAATAAGAAGGAACGGATGTAAACAGGCGCAATGCGAAGTGTAAAAATGACGTTGTAATCTTCTCCGATCGATCCATAAATCTGCAGTTTTCGATTTTTCCACTTCGCAGAAAATATGGCCGGAAAATATTAATCGCTCGATTCTTTCCGCGCGTGATCGTCCTCGAAGCGAGAATATGACAATATGAAAATATCAAAAGCGTTAAGACGTCCTAAGACGTCGTAAGGACATCTCTGAGACGATAGGATGTCTCTGAGACGTCTTTCAGACACACATGTTGTGCGGGGCATCGATTGGCTCCGCCATTTCGCTTCCGTAGTCCGAAGTAGTCTGAAGCCGGTGGAAAGTCTGCCGAGATTATCTCTGAATACTCCGTATTCGTCGGGACTCTCACCCTCGACGAATTCTCGTCTTTCGTTTTTCCAGCGTGTCGATTCACCCCGAACGAGACTGTTACTGACTACAACAGCGGGCCCCAGGAAGGGGACCGGGGATGACGAGGGATGACGCCGCGCACCTGTTCGCCGTGCCGCGCGCGATACAATGTCGCGGACTCGCATAAATTTAACTTCTGCCCGCAGGGGGCACGCACGGTCCGGGTTAAATAACGTCATTTAGTATCGTAATATCTAATTTACTGCAGAGAAGGGCGATGAGTCTCGGTGAGGGCCGGCAGCAAGAAGGGGGAGGGAGGGGAGAGAAAGCAGCACCAGCACGTGGTCGCGGTCCCACGACGCCGCAATTACAGGCGCCTTTGAAACAATCGGGTGTCCTTTCGACGGAGCGGTTCGGTACGAGAGATTAAACGCGTGCCCGAGTTGCGATACCTNCCCCCCCCCCCCCCCCCGCCGTATGTGCGAAAGCTTCTTTTTTACACCTCGGTACGCAAAGTTCATTGCGGATTCAACATCGATATAGATGCGATATCCGCATGAAACATTTCCGGAAATCTGCGTCATCCTTAGTGAGACCAAGATTAGGAGGGAAGAGAAGAGGAAGCGAGCGATTCTGAATTCTTACACGTTTCAGCGATTCGGAAGAAAATGTTAAATGAGTCTCAAGTGCGGATCAATTTGGATTTTCTTTCGAGGAAGAAGAACGGAATGAGGAAGAAGCGAGAAATGCAATTATCGTTGCAAAGTATGTCTCGACGTAGCCGTTGCCATTTCCTCGCGGGTTTTCACGTTTCAACATAAATTCTAATTTTCCATGCGGCTTTTTGTCGTCGGGCATTCCATCGTGAAGCTCTCCGGACGAACCTCGAGAGAACGCGCGTTCTTTCTCATCTTCTCCTTCTTTTTCTCCGTTTCTCTGACTCTCTCTCTCTCTCTCTCTCTCTTTCTCGCTCTCCCTTTTTTATAATATTCAACGTTCACGCGGAGATCGATC